CTCACTCCTCTGGTCTTATTTTAAGGACAGGGTCTCATAATGCAGCCCTAGCTGGCCTGGAACTCACTATGTAGACTAGGCTATCCTCAAACCCAGAGATTGGCTTGCCTCTACCCCTCGAGAGATTGAAGGTGTGTACTACCATGCTCTGCCCAAGAAAAAGACTCTAGAAAAATTATTTTTATATGTATGTGTGTGTCTAAATATATGCCACATGTGTGCTGATGCCCACGGTGGTCTGAAGAGGGTGCTGGATCTCATGAAACTGGAGTTACAGGCTGCCATGAGCTGCCTGATGTGAGGGCTGGAGACACAACTCAGGTTCGCTGAGGAACAGCAGGTGCTCTTAGTCACTGAGCCATCTCCCACAGACTCACCATGGTGTTTCCATCAAAGCGAGAATACTAGAAGCTTCATGCCCAGCACCCTGAGAGTGGCTGCATTTGGTTTACTCTAAGAGCTTATTAAATTTCCCTCTTGTTCACCCTCATTTTATAGACAAGTCTCAAAGAAGCTAAAGCTCAAAAGTTCTAGAGTTAGGACTGGAGAGATGGCTCAGCAGTTAAGAGCCCTGGCTGCTCTTCCAGAAGACCTGGGTTCAATTCCCAGCACCCACATGGCAGCTCACAACTGTCTGTAACTCAAGTTCCAGTGGATCCGACTCCCTCACAAAGACATGCAGGTCAAACACCAATGCATATTTAAAAAAAAAAGTTTTTTATAAGAAAGTTCTAGAGTTAACTAATCAGGACATTCGGGTGTGGGGCCAGGTACTCGGTGCCTGTGGTAGCCTAACCTTGAAGCCAAGTCCAGGGTTAGGGGCCTACTATGGAGAATAAAGGATGGCCATCTTCATGGGACTCAGTTTCCCTCAGAGACAGGTCATGACAGCCGAGGGCAAAAGATACTGTCATAGGAATTTAACTGATGCTCTCGGGCAATGAAGAGTAGCCGCTATATGCCGAGACTTGTGCTGGATGCATATTTAACTCTGCAAAATGAACTGCGGAGAGGGGAAGCCAGAAACTGAGAAGGTAGCACAGAAGGCGGTGGCTGGGAGCCGCTTAGGAAACACTCGTTAACTCTGGAGCCACAGGAGGCGAGGGACTCATCACCACCACTTCCTAAGACTGTGTGACCTTGGCTCAGCCTCCCTGCTGCGCCTCAGTTTCCTCACCAGTGAACTAGGGTAGACCCATCCACAGGCAGACGACCAAGCAAACCCCGTACCGTTGACATTCCCTAAGCGTGTGCGAGAAGTACGATAAATGCTGCTCAAAACCGGAAGGGTTGCGCAGGTGAGAAAACCAAGGGCGCTCTAGGTGGCCCCCGGTCGCGAGCAAAAGCGCCGCCGCCAGCAACGCCGAGAATGGCGCGCATGCGTCAATTCATGCCGTCACAGTCACGTGCCCCAGGCATTCTGCACGAGAGGCACACTCTGACAGGCGGGACAGTTGACGAATCGGCGGGAAGAACTCCTGCAGACTTCGGGAAGAGAGGCTGTTGATTGGAGAGCGGCTCAGGCAGGGGCGGGTTCTTTGCTGTCCTTGGTTACTATGACGCCCGGCCCCCCGCCCCCTCGGCTGGCCGCCATCTTGTTGTTGATCCGTACCCAGTGGGCAGCGCCAGGAGCTGGACCGAGCGGCCGGTGCGGGGCCGCTGCTGCGGGGCTCAGCCGCCTGCGCTGCCTGCCAGGGGGGCGGGCCGAAACCTGGAGGCCCGGGGGGCCCCGCTCCCGTGGGGAGCCTTGGGCGCCCGCTGCCCAGGTCGGGCCGGTGAGTGACAGGAGTCGGGCCAAAAGACCCGCCCGACACCCAAGGCTAGGGTGGCGGCGGGCGCGGGGCTGTAACAGGCGCGCGTAGGGCAGGGTCGGGACTTAGGCCGAGCATCCCTGGAACATCCTCCGAGCGTCCTGGTTGGCCTTCCGCGGAGCCTCCCAGATGCTGGCAGGGCGGCTGGGAGGGCAGCCCGGGGGGAGGTCGGAGAGCCCTGTGCCCTAGGACCGGCGGGATAGCGGGAAACCTGCCTTTCTAAGTCACTGGATGCCTCTGACCAGGAGTGCTGAGACGTGGTCCCTGCCCGCTGGTTCTCCCGGCCGTAACGTTCCTCCACACCAGGGATAAACGTACGTCGCTCTTAGATATCACACTCTTGTAATATTTTCAGGCCGCTAGAGACTAAGATGAGAAGACACAGGCCTAAAATGCCTTAAGAGCCAAGCAGGGTGGTATCGAGGCCCTGTGTTTTTTGGTAGGACGGTGGTCATCCGCCTGTCTCTTTCCTTGCAAGACCCCACGGAGCCTTCCGGGCTCTTCCGGATTCACTGTCTACTGGTTCTTGAAGAACCTGGTTAAATGTCCATAATGGCTGGGTTTTATTTGGGGTGTAAGTTCTGTAGTGCTTGCCCACCACTCTCTTTGGAGAGTGTGTGTTAGGAGGATAAGGATGGTGATGATTTGGTTAATTTTGTCTCCTAAAAAGACAGTCCGTTAGGAAATGTAGGCGTATGATAAGACTATTAAAAATGTTTTTATTATGGATGGTCTTGAACTGTCCCATTAGCTATTAACAGAACTGAAACCGGGTATGGGAGCTCATGCACCCTGCTGAGGCAGGAGGATTGCCAGTGGGCTGCAGGCCAGCCGGAGCTACATAGCAAGACCCTGTCTCGAAATAAAAGCAGTGCTGAATGTTACTGATGCTGGATGAAAACGGCTGTCAGGCCTGTTTCTTCTGAGGGAGGTGGGGCTGGCGATCCCCAGAAGATTATGCAGCTCTAGACACGGTCCTCCCGGTTGCTGTAAAACACATTTTACCCAGGGTCCTTAGCTTCTCCACACAGGTGTCTTGTATGTTGTCGTCATACGAAACCTACAAGGGATGATTAAGGAGGCCAAGCAGGCTCATGTCACCCACCTCTGAATGTTTAATTTTGAAAGAAACCAGCACCTTGGTCTGGAGATGCCTCTGGGAAGCCAGAGCTGAATGAAGCCCGGGCAGGCGGCAGGTCGTTGGCCTTAGCTGATTGTTATGCTTGTGAGGAGAAGAGAGGAGTTGAGTACATTTGTTATTTATTTCATTGCCCTTCCACAGGGCCGTTTTTGAATGATTACTAACATGCCTTCGTGAAATAGGAGGGAGATACTAAAATATTAGCTTCTCAGAATTGCTCCTCCCAAGCGCCCATTGCTCTTATTTCTTTATTTTGGAAATTAAATCAGCCACAGGATTAAATTTTTGCTATTTCTGCTAAAATAGCTAACCCTAAGTTAGACTCTTATCTCATTTTGGGTATTGGATCTCTTAGTGATGTAGAAGGAGATGATTAATCAAGTTGTCAGCATTGACTTCTGCATACAATCTCAGGGAGTTCAAGGGTCCATTAAAGTCTCTCCTTGGTGTAATCCTTTGTTAGGACTGCTGTCCCAAGGAAGATCAGAAAACATGAACTTCCATTATCTTTGTTTTATGCTTTGTTTCCTAGCTCATGGGTATTTATGAATAGGGTATGGTACTTGACTCTACAGTTAACCCAAAGACAGTAACATTATTTCTGTGTTATGTATCTTAAATGCTGCATCATAAAGACCGTTACGCTGATAGGCCCTCTGGTCGTCTTTGTCTTTGCATAATTCATTTGTAAACTTTAGTGCTTGAGGTTTTTTTGAGATCGTGTTCCTTGTGTAGCCCAGGCTGTTATGGAAACTCGAGTCACCTGTTTTCTCAGAGTGCAGGGACTTCAAGTGTACATACACCTGGCTTAGCACTTTTTCTTTTTTTTTCTTGGAATGGTGTCTCTATACATAACCCTGGCTGTCCTGGAACTCACTATGTAGACCAGGCTGGCCTCAAAATCACAGAAATCCACCAAGGCATGGCCTGGTTTAGCACTTTTAAACTATTAAGGACAGCTGGATAGCATAGATGGTGGTTATTCTTCAGTCTAACGCTCTCCCAACTGAGCTATTTCGGCTTGATGGTGGTTATTCTACACTGGCCAGAAATTGACACAGGCCCAGGAGGCAGGGAGATCTGAGTTTGAGGCCACCCTGGTCTACAAATCGAATTCCAAGACAGCCAGGGAGGGCTACACAAGAAACCCTGTCTTGAGGGGGAAAAAGACAAAGCAGGATTATAAGAAACAGGATTATAGGATGAGATCTGAGGTCCTAATGTGGTGTCCAAAGTGTTGCTGCCCAGCCAGCCCCAGCCCACTGCCTCAGGTTTATCCTTATCATCTACTAACTAAACAGCTTGCTCAGCATTCCACATGTCTTTCGCTCCCCGCCCGGTGCCTCTTGCTTGCCGAATCCCATGACCTTCGCCCCCGTTCAGGATTCTGTTACTTTTCCCTCCTTGCTTATCTCCAGAGTCCAGTTCAAGTCCTCCCTGGCTTTCTAAAACCTCTCTCAAACATCTTCAATTCCTGGAGCATATTCCACTCCTTTTGAGCTGCAAAAGCATTATAACCCTTAAACAACAGAATAGGATTTGCTCTGTTTGTTTGTTTGTTTTTGTCTTTTTTGCTTTGTGTGTGTGTGTGTGTGCTTGTGCACGTGTATGCGCACGTGCTTGTGTGTGTGCATATACATGTTTCAGTGTATAGAAGTCAGAGGACAACTCCCTCTCCTTTTGCCGTGGGTTTCAGGGGTCCAACTTTGTTGTCATGGTAGTGTGGCGGCACCCTCATCCCCTGAGCCATTTTGCCAGCCCTGTTTGGTTTTTGAGACAGACAGACTTGTGTGGCCTAAGCAGGGCACCAGCTTGTTTGGTAATCCAGGTTGACATCTAACTCTTGATCTTATTTCTTAAGCCACCTAAGTGCTAGAATTATAGATGTTCACAACCACAGTTGGTTTGATATTTGCCTTATTTATTTAATGTATATGGATGTTTTGTTTAAATGTATATCTGTGCACCATATGCAAGTCTGGCACCCACAGAGTTCAGAAGAGGGCATTGGCTCCTTTGGAACTGTAGTTACAGTTGTAAGCGACTGTGTGGGTGCTGGGAATTGAACCTGGTCTTCTGGAAGAGCAGTAACCACCGGGCCATCTCTCCAGCCCAATATTTGCTTTTTTTTTTTTTTTTTTTT